AAGTCTCTGTTTCTTTAACATTCTCTGCCGTTTAAATTCCTTTTTCTTCAACAACATGGCTGGGTTGCTTCAACAACCCACCCATGTTGTTGAACCTGGCGTCCTTCAGGAAAGGGCTGGATGAGATCCATGGATCCATTAGCTATTAGCTACTAACTGCCCAACGTGCTAGATGGGCTCTTCCCATGTGTAACCCTTCTAATGTTCTTAGCCACTCAGAGCAATTACCTGCCTTGCTGACATCTGAGCGAGCACTATGTGCAACAAGTAATATCCCAGCTCTATTAGTCAATTTGTGGGTCGAACATCATCAACTCCACTATACAACAAGAACAACCATCAGCAACAAAGAAATTGGGACCCACAAAATGTCAGTTTCACATTGAAAAGAGTGCAACTGCAGAGTGGATAAATGATGCCCAAGCAGTTGAGTCCCGTTGCATCTCGGGGCACAGAGGCGTCACCGAGATGTGAGTGGCGCATATCACAGGGGGCCACTAGCATCGACGCTGCAGACCAGAGCCAGATGCAGTTTATGGCTCTTACACAGGAACAGGATCCTCGCATTCTGCACACGACAACCAGCCTTTTTCACGTGTAGCGACTGATCGATCGTTAACAGGCCCACTGACAGCGTCTACAAAACGGGCCATCTTGGGGTGCTGGCTTCCCGGAGACTCACATGTTCATTCCTGGCAGGCCCGGACCACCTAAGGAGTTGGGAGGGGGTCTCATTCCACCACCGTAGCTCTGCACAGCACAGGGACAGAAAAAGAAAGGGACCGTTACCGCGACGACCACAGGGGATTTAGGAAAAGACGCAGAGGGACGGATAGGGGCGGCGTGCCATCGAGGAAAAGAAAGGGCCAGCATTCCCAAGCTGTACAGCGATCCCTTTCCCGAGTCCGATACCAGGCACAGCTGGAGCCTGGAGCCTGGAGCAGGAAAAACACATTTCGTATTAAAGCTACGTGAGGCTAAAGCCAACTCCTGGTGGGGTCCCTGAAATGGAAATTTCAGTGTCGTCTCCTGCAAGGAACGGGAAATTCACGTACCGCGCTCAAGCCGTTAAGATATTAACCCGCATCTGTCCGAACCCACCCGCACACAGAAACAGGGGCTCTCCTGCTTTGCTCCGGACCCTGTAGCTCGTGCGGCTAACGTAGAGCATTCAGGGAGGAAGGGGCTATGAGGGGACCCCCCCACACACACACACACACCGTCAGGACCAGACGGGGTTCCAGTCCCAGAGTGGGCCAGGACACACGGGGAGAGGCAGGGAGCGGTGCGCTCTCCCAGAACCTCGTTTCCGGTTTGTGACATCAGGCGTCGAGAGTCCTGATCGTCCAGAGAGCAAAATCCTCACCCGCCTTCTCCAGTCCCTCGTATGACACAATGGGTGGCAGTGAAGGGGCTAATAAGCCATGCTCCTTTGGGGGAGGGGCAACAGTCAGCCGTCCTTACCTGTGGGCCCATGCCGGCCATCCCTCGGGGCGGATTCATCCTCATGGGGCCGCCCATGTTCGGATGGCCTGGGAAAAACGAGACAGGCTTTGAGAGACCACCAGCGACAGCCCCTCGATCCCCACCCCCACCCCCCACTCCCTCCCCGAGTCTCCAGAACCTCCTGCTGCCCTTCAGAACCCAGCCCGGGCCTTACCCTGGGGTCTCGTGGGGTCCAGGCTGTTGGGCAGGAGTGGCTGTGATCCTGGAACGCCCACAGGTGGCTGCAGGAGACAAGAAGACCACAAAACCACCATTGTTAAGGGCCTGAGGCCACGACCACACCGCCGCCCTGCTGTTCGGCTCAGCGGTGCTCCAGGTTCCTCCACTCACACCAACGCGTCAAGGATTGTGGACGCACAGGAGCTGTGACCCGAAACCACAGAGCTCCACACCGAGACGGGCGAGGAAGGCGAGAGGTTCTCTCGTGCGACTGGGGTTCAACCGAGGAGCTGCCACAGAGGGCTCGAACCCTGGCTGCACGGGACGGCCCGGCTGAGGATAAGGTCGCCGGCGGGGCGCAATACCTGATTTGGCATTCGGAGCGAGGGGCGGGGTCCGCCGGGGTACCGTGGCGACATGAAGGGCTGTAACGAGAGAGAGAGAGACAGAGGAGATTGAGCACTTTCCTTGACCTTTGACCCCTGACCCCTGACCCTCGACCCTAGTGTGAGCTTTGTCAGAGGGCTTTCCAACTGTTCCGCCTCTGCGTGGGGAAAAAAACAAACAGGAGTTAAAACATGTAACCACTCACACAGGCACTCACACTCACGGGAGCTGACCACAGGCACACGTGAGCGAGAGAGCCCCTCTTGTTGAATAACACGCCTCTCCAGGTCAGAGGTCAAAGGTCATTCGCAAACATGACGCCGTTGCCCACGATAAAACTCGAGGGAAGAAATGGCTCGGTTCCTTGTGGAAGGGCGCGTGGGGAAACGTGGACGCGACCCAGCCGAGTCCAGATCTGCGCGCCGCCTGGGGACTGGCAGGTGTGCCTGCCTGCTTGAGCCCCTCTACAGAGGCAGGTGCTGCATCATTACTGGAATATTGACCCGCGCCCTGCCCAGGGACCGGCTGCCCCTGCGAGACCCACCTCTGCAGCTGCCAGCCCGACTGAAAGAACTGAATTATTAATCTCGTGTCTGGGCTCGTCTCCACTTAACCAGCAAAGAGAGAGGGGGTGAAAGGAAGCTGCAAATGAGCAGACAGCCTGAGCAGGTTAAGAGAAGATCAGCTGTAGCCTAGAGCTCCTTCCACAGCAACAGGGATTCAACTCCATGCTGCAAGAAGCACCTACCGCCCCACCAGCACCCCAATCCGCAGGTGAGCTCACACACCTGGTCAGAGGTAACACTGGCAAATACATTCAGATACATGATGTTCACTTTGTGTTATTAATCAGACTACAGGTATCTTTATTCAAGTCGTTAGCATACTAGGACTGTGGTTAAGATTGGTATGACTGGCAAGACTGATACAGCTGGCGTGCAAAATAGCATGTGGCCCCTCTGTACACATACATAATGTGTATGAAACCTGCACATAACCTGCAATAATGCGCATATTTTGGACACCTGGAAAGCTCATAGGAAACATTCACAAAGGATCCCGTGAAATTTCTAAATCTGAGCCCCGATATTTTTTATGTTCTTACAGATTTATATTACAGACTGCTTTGCATCCATGTAAAAGTAGCTAAAACCTTGTGTATGCTAACAGTTCTTGAGCTGTACTCAATACACTTAATTAACATTTCAACATTGTTCACTAATTGTCATATGGCCTCACATTCATTCTCCTGCTTAGCATTGCCAATTTGAATGAAAGAATGAAGGTTCAATGATCATCTTCGTTAACTAATTATCTGGGTGACAACTTATCAATACAGGAGTCTGAAAAGTCAGACCAGGTTCCTCAAAACCGTGGATTAAACAGGAACCAAAGTTTTTGAGGCCCTGTCCTATGGGGACAGGTATTCCAGTGACACTCTGGTGCAAAGCATACAGATAAACAGACCATAACGACACCCTGGAAACAATGACAGCTCATGACACCAAACAAAACAGCCTCTGCCGACTGAAGTGCTGCTCTCCAGACTTCAAAACCAAGGCTGAGTGCAACTGATCTGGCTACACAAAGCCTACAGCGAATACCATGGTCTGAACTGTCACTGATCTTCAACTACTGCCCCCAAAACTGAAACAAAAAACTATTTTCAAAGGCTTAATCATTATTACTGTTTTTGCAGCTGTATGCTGGGCATGTGGCATGAATTTGAACATTATAACGACAACATTCACTCCTGGGTCTGCAGAGCTGATAATCCCCAGTGAATGCAGACCTGGAAACACAGGTCATGTGGATCAAGTCATTCCACTCGATTCATTCAGGGTCCAGGGGGGACAGAAAACCAGAGGACAGGGCGCTCTGCTACAGAGTCTCTAGCCCTGGCCCTGCTGAGCCCCAGCTACAGGTCTCCCCCCATCAAGGAACTTCTCACAGAAGGGGATACTAGCTCTGGGGAGCTGGGGGACGTTCCGATTGTTAAGCTAGATGACCTGGATGAGTTAAGACGGTCCACTTGTTCAACTGGTCACAGTGAAATTGCTCCAGGTCTTTAGAAACTGCTGGACTGGTACTGCCCCGGTGTCGAGCTCGGGACCCACCATGCCTGGAGCGATGGTGCCATGTTCAAGACTGGGCCAGTCTGGGGGCGGGGTCAGACCCCAGCTGGGCGCGCCGTGAGCCAGTCTGGGGGCGGGGTCAGACCCCAGCTGGGCGGCGCCGTGAGCCAGTTTGGGGGCGGGGTCAGACCCCAGCTGGGCGGGGCCGTGAGCCAGTCTGGGGGCGGGGTCAGATCCCAGCTGGGCGGGGCAGTGAATCAGTCTGGGGGCGGGGTCAGACCAAGCTGTGAAGGTCTTGCCAGGCCAGAGCAGTGTACACACCGTCCCTGAAGATGGTGTGAGCTGTGTTTTATGAAGCAGAGGTCTCACTCCAGTCAGGATAACAACAGTGTATTATAAGGATAGGTCTGCCCTTCTGCTGCTGATCCTATGGGGGCTTTAACTGCTTAATTGACCGTCAACTATCTAATTGACCTAGAGGTTAAAGTTCAAGAATCAGGGTTTGCAGCCAAACAAAGAGGCAAGGCTGTCTTACTCCATATATAAGCTGCAGGTCAAACAAAGGCCTTTTGTCATTAACCTTTTCACATTCACAAAGTTCAAAGGTCACAAAAATATAAACGTAAAAAATAAAATGCTCTCATTTAGTCAGTAAGAAAGCCATTATGGTAACAAGGAGACATTAGCAGACAAACATGCAATTTATCATTGGAGGGTTTTAAGTTTTAAAGGTTTAAAGTTTCTTATACATTTATTGCTCTTGTAGTACACATACACATTATGAAACTGCTATTTGCTAATTGCATCAAATTGCTGATTGCTGCACCTGAACTATAGTGATTTTTCAAGTTCAGGTTTCAAGTGTGTTGGGTTTCCCTGCAGCACTACCTGGCATAAGCTGGCACAGCTTCTGCAAAGATGGGCCATGTCGATGGCAGCGATGGGGTCAATGTCAACTGCTCTCGCTCTCAACATGAATCCGTCAATTTCAAGACCTCTTCTGCCCCGAATGACCTCACGAATTCCTCACAAGTCCAGGCCCCTCTCTCCCCATCCCACCCCCCCTGACCTGCCGTGGCCGCCGGGGCAGAACGGCTGCACCGCACGCGAGGCACGCTGGCCTGCAAGGCGCTATATTAACGCAGGGAATGAAACGCCTAGGCCCTCTCCCTGTGTACGCAGTGCTCACTGGCCTTACCTGGCTGTGAGGTCCCATCATGGGGTTGCTGGGGTTGTGTGGGGGTGGCTGTGCGTGGGGTGACGGCTGGGAGCCGGGAGGTCCCTTTAAGAGAGAAGAGGGAGATGAGAGAGACAGTGGTGGCCTGTGCAGAGAAGCCCCTGAGCTGCCGAAGGAGAGGGGAGACCCCACTCCGACTGACCGGAATCTCATTTGGATCTGGATGCGTTTTGGATCCGTTCGGGTTACCGTGTGGACCACGGGTTTTTCTTAATGTGTGAAACGCCTTTTGCTCTTGAGCAAAATGCTGCTTCCAACGGTTCTGTCTGCCGCCCGGAAGCGTGAAAGTCCCAAGCCTGCACATCTCATGGGAGAGAAAGCAAGAAAATTCCCAACCCCGCGGCTTATAAATGAAACGAAGGAATTTCATCCATGTGTCACTAGCAGACAGAAATAAAAACAAAAACAAAAAGGGGAAAAAAAACAGGACCCGTTATCTCCTGCACGGTGCCAGAGATGAGGGTGGCCCAGGCTCACCTGAGACCCAAATGCACCGCCCTTCCTCCGCCCCCCCCAGTGCAGAGAGAGCGCCAGGCTGCAGCCGCCTGAGACGAGCCCCGTCGGTAACTCTGCATTTACTTAATAACAGCCTCTCCTCCATTCTGCGCCATCGGGACCGAACACAGAACACAGGACAGCAATCGGCCGTGGGGCTCCCCTCAGAGTGACGAGACCGGCGGCGATGTTGGATCAGTGCTTAACGAACCAATTAGTCAAATCGTTATCTATCCAGGTAAGGAGACAACGGCTTGGCACCGCTGCGCGGAAAACCCATCAGCGGCCCTGCCTGCAACGCTGAGTAGTGCCACGTAATATTCTGGAAGGGGCAGAGGGAAAGCTGGGATATTGGTGGGGTGGGGGGTGTGGGTGCAGACAGGGTTGGAGGCAAGGAATGACAGCGACCTGTAATACTGCAACAGGGCCACTAGAGGGCAGTGCAGCCCTACGAATTAAGAAGCGAGTTGGCGCACAAAGAACCGAAGAAAAACAGCAGGCGATGAATGCACTGGTGTGGATCACGGCACAACAGCTCACTTCTGCACGCGCTGTTCAAGCTATCATAGCCCCACACTGGCAAATAGCACAGACTCGAGAAATTCTGCTGCTGGTGATTCTGCCATACACCGAAACCACAGGCAGAGAAAGCACGGTTACAGAATTTGTCTACACTCATGTTAATTGACACTGAAAAGTGCAGTAACTTTGTAGCATCTGTGTTTGCCCAGTTCTCCTGATCCCTCAAAACTGACTGATGGATCACGGGTGTCAGACTAATACCTGTGAATTCAACAGCCCCTGGACAGCATCTGTGCTGGAGAAATATCGCCCAGTGTCAGACACAAGTGGATTCTGTCCTTCCATTGCGAGATCAGACAACAAGACCGGTTTCAGAAGCCACAGAGATACAAGAGACATACTGGACACCAGGGAAGCTGGGCTCGCCTGCTGGCGATCTCTCACTATGGTTGCCACTACTGCATTAACATCAAGCTGCTGGTCTTCAAGGTCACTGAAAAGCCTGGACAGACTCAGCCCGCAGCAGGAAAGCACAAGAGAAAGGCAGGGCTGCAGGCCGGAGCCCAGTCCCTCACTGACTTTCGACCTGCGACCTCTACCTTGACGTCCAGTGTGGGACACCCCCTCTCTCCAGCTCAGGTGCACACTTCCTCACCTGACTAGAGCCCCCAAAATGCAGCACCCACCACCGAGACCCCACAGACTCCCCGTCCTTGACCACCCAGGCTCCGGACTGAACAGAAAATCCCGGGCGAAGGGCAGAGAGCGAGAGGGCTCAGCGGGATGGCATGGTGCCCCCAGAAAACACTTCCTGCCTCAGCTCTTTCTCTCCCTGCAGTGCCCCCTGGAGCTCTGGAGCAGGCTGCGCATCAGGGCAAGACTGACTCGGGGTATTCCCCATTTCTTCATCCTCCTCCTCCTCCTCCGTCTCTTCCCTGCCTCCCACAAACTCACCCAGCGCCTCCCTCGTGTGAGCTGGCATTCCTTCACCACTGTACTCCCCCTGAGAGGAAACTCCCCCCCCCAAGCTTAACCCCAGCAGGTGGGAGCTTTCAGGTGAGGCAGGGGGGGGTGCCTGCCTCAGGTCCTCTCGGGTCCTGCCCTGCGTCACGCAGAGCCACTTTCTCAAACGCCCTTTGCCCTCGTCTGGCTCAGAACCAGCCCTTTTTAAAAAGCCAAACGGCTTCTACGGCGCTGGCGCCTCACTGCATGCTCCAGGGTACCAGCCACGGGGAGTCTGGACAGCACAAGGTGACCCTTCCCTCCCCTGTCAAGAGATTGATTTATTGCTTTCTGCCAACACCCCAGTCTCTGCTAGGAGGGGGGGGGTCAGTGATGCTACATCAGCTCAGCCAGGGTCAGCAAACGCCAACAAAAAACCCACAGGCCCCAAGACGAACAGGGCTGGAGCACCTCCGACTGCCTCACAGGACTGGTGCACCGCTGGCACCTTCTGCCCACACCCCTGCCCTCCTGCCTGGGCCTGCAGGTCTCCTGCCTGCACAGGGGTGGCACCGCTCGGGAAAGACGGGTAGGTTTTGATTAGCTCAGTATTAAGCCAGGAACGGCCGCCGGAGGGTCATGAGATCTACACGATGACATTCTGAATTTCAACCCCCCCCAAGCCTGGGGACCCCCAGGACCAGAGATGGCCATCCCTGGCTAACAGGGCCCAATCGCAAACCCCCGTCGTGGCCAGGAGCTGGGGATGCTGCCTGGGCCAATGTAGTGACCCTTGACCTCACCTGCTGATTGGACAGGGGCGTGTATTCAGGAGGGGGGCTGGAGAAAGGGGGTTAGCGCAGGAGGAGAAGTGTGGGCTGACAGAACCAGCGCACCAAGCTCCAATCACACCCAGCCCAAAATCAGGAGGGTCACCTGCTGAACAGAACAGCTCAATTTAAGTGGGGGGGGAGAGCCGGACCGCCAGAGCACGGACGTGCCCGGCTCGGGTGGTGCCACAGACCGCTGCAGCTGGGGACAAGTGCGGCAGCCTCGCTCAGGAACACAGGCGCTATTTATGGAAGGCAATCTCGCTCACACAACCACACACACACGCACACACACACAGCCTCCGATCGCTGCTCGCTCTCAGCTGCTAATCATAAATCATTAACATTCATGCAGGCCCGTGGACAGAGCCAGCCTGCAGCTCCGGGGATGACACGCAGGGGTTATTATCCTGGTAGTGATGACGAGGATAACAACAAAAAAAACGAAAAGAGGAAGAAAAAAAAACCCCGAACAATACGACTGGTCACCAAGAGACGCCAAGATCTTCTGCCCCAAAAATATCCGGGAATGAAGGGTTGTGTGCCACGCTCCCCTGCTGTCGAGAGAGGTCTGTCCCAGGTCCTTTGCCCCTCTCAGGCTGGACTGCTCCTCACTGCCCCCTGGACCTCCACTCGCATTCCCACAGTTCTGCACTAGGGGGCGCCACAGCCCCCTCATCAGTCCCAGCACACTCTCACCACCCTCCTTGCACCGCCTGTCCGGGAACGTTTTGCCTTCTGCTGCCGGTGCTGCTCCAGCAGCCCGAGGCTGGGATCGTGGGAGTTGGGATATTTTGATGTAGTCAGCTGCTCGCCGGGCGCCCCCTAGTGTCCGCGCCAAGCCGCGCCAGGGTGACGCATCACAGCGAGGCTCATGTGCCAACTCCCCCCACCCCTGTACCCAGAGCAGTCCTGCCGCGTCTACAGGAAGACACAGAGGCTGCAGAGAGAGAGACAGGAAGGGAGACGAAGATGGGAGGGGGGGGGGCCTTACTTGAAAGAAGCTGGGGGGCATGGGTCCGCCAGGCATGCCATCGCTGGGGGGCATGTTGCCCATTACTGGACTGGGGGCAGCTGCGGCACTCTGAAAGACAGACACAAACGCCAGTTAATGAAAACGCCCTGCTGGCCGAGTTCAGGCTCAAGAGGTTCAGGGGCTCTGGTCTCCTGAAAGCGTCCTGCAGCATCCGGAGCTGGGATGATGGCCTGCAGCATCACGATGAACCCACACCGCAGTTTGGGGCAACACCTGGCAGGCCGACGGGCTTTGGGCTGGCTCAGGGGAAAGGTCAGGGTGGGTGGGGACTGCTCTCCAATAGACACACATCACTGAAGCTCTGCCAGCTGCACACCCAGGGCACCACAGCTGTCGGACACACCACCCCTGCCACTCTCTGCCCAGCGGTGCCTTCCGCCGAATGAACCGCCAGACCCAGGCGGTGCCGGGCAGGCGGATGAAGAGTCCCGAAGCACACTAAAACAGGGGTCCCAAGGGGAGCACTCATCAGGCACACAAGAGGACGACACCCCCAAAACACTGCCGCACCCCGCTGCGAGCACAGCCTCGCTTCCAGCAAAATCCCGAGCCACCGGCCCCGCGACACGTTCAGGCTTCTCCAACGCCGCTGCGCCTGTGCTGTCTTGAGAGGACGCGTCGTGAAAGGCGCTATATAACAATTATCGCTCCCGCGGGTCTTGAAACCTGTTCTCTGGTCTGAACCACAGGCTCAGGCACGTGGCAAGGGTGTGACCCACCCCTCTGGGGAATTATGCCCCCAA